TGTGCCACTGTATACTAATTATCTCCTTTATCCTACAGAAACATTTTAAAACTGGAATGATATAGGTAGGAATTCTTTGGTTGATATTAAACAAACAGAAGTTAATAAACGTGTTTAGAGTATAGCCTGTTCTTTTTTTTTTTTTTAATCATTCCATCAGTGCTAGCAAAAAAGAATTTAAGGCAGCAAATGACTCATGTTGTTGGAAGAGCCAAAATTTGAGTCTTGTGCATTTTCTATTAAAGAATAGTATGTGAAACAGCTGCAGAGTCTCAGGGCAGCTAGTGGTGTTGCTGTTTGATTATTTGACTTATACATAAGAAAGGATGCTTTTTGCTTAGTACTAAAGCAAAGTAGAGAAACATGCTCTAGAAAAGTCTAGCATTGTTGTTTTCCTGTCATTGCTATTAGTGGTAGAATAATAGTACAAAAATAGGATTTTTACCCAGAACAGACCTTGTGTAATTCCATATCATGGTACAAAGACTGTCATGTAAGTTTTAATCAGCTCCAACATATGGTAAGACCATTTTGGAAATCATGTAGAAAATAGATTACACTGTTTTTAGCAAGGTTGTAAGCCTCCATGTTCACTGTGGATTTCAAAAGAATTTCTCTCTCAGAACCTTTCTGTGGAAACTGGTCATGAGTTAGTATAAACCCAAGACATCATAAATGTTTCAGAATAACTAGGTTTTTAAAAATTACTGTAAAGCCTCCACTTAAAGGGAATTGCCTAGCAATATATTTTATGTAGCACACTGCACTTAAACAAACTGGTTTGGGTCTTTGTTGACCTCAGCAGATAAAGACTAAATAGGTGAGGCTGGTCTCTCTGGAAGTCCTTCCTCAGTAGTCTGGGAAGGCTGCTACTGTCCAGGCTGCCTTTGCAGTGACCAGAGCACAAGAGTATAGTGTTGGGCACCCTCACTTGTACTTTAATAAGCACGCTGAATAGCTTGACGTACAGGGCATGCTTTGTGTGAAAGTAGCTGGGATAAAAGGAGAAGGCTCAGACAGTACAGGATATGCTTTGTTAGGTAAAATGTGTTTAACCCTGACTGTAGGAGGAAATATTAATTAGATTTGCTAGGACAGTTCATTTAAATGATCTAGGCGTGTGCCTTCATGGATCTCACAGGACAATAATGGAAATGAAAAATTAGGATAGGCTGAAAGTTTAAGTACCCTATATAACCACTGTCATCAGTGGAGATGAATCAAATGCTGCTTTAATCCATGTGTAGGAACGTATGACTTTGTGTCACTTTCCTATTTCTATTAATTTGGGCTGTATTCCTCCTAAGGTGTGCCACCTTGTCGCTCCCTGATTCTTTTCCCTTTCCTTGCACTTAAAATACTTCCCTTCATCTATATTCTACCCTTCCCTTAGCCTTCTCATCATCCCTCAATTCCTTCTGGAAAACTTCATTTTGGACTTTTTTCAGCTAACTATGCACATGCCAGTAGCTTCCACTTTCTTTCTTCTTTCTTTCTTTCTTTCTTTCTTTCTTTCTTTCTTTCTTTCTTTTTTTTTTTTTGATTCATTGAGTCTTTTATTGTTTTAGAAGTCTTTGTTTCATTTCTTCTGTGTTCTTTTTTTTTCCATAATTCTATTGAGAAACAAATAGCAGTGAGACAGTTTCAAACCAAATTGGTAGGACAGTTTCAATAATTAACACATTGCATACATTCTTCCTAGTGGTTAATTGCTGTACAAGATGCGGACTTGATATCCTATTTACAAACACCATTACAGCAAATCCCTCTATTCATTAAGAGAATGTAACTATATATCTATCTTAACCACTTTGAATACACAGATACAAAATGGACATTCATCTGTATCCCCTTTTTTGTTAAGTTCCATCATTTAAATATTATAGGTGTGTAAACTCAGCAAAATATTCTAAAAGAGTTCGGTAGTCCATAATAGTATTGGGTCTTCCGCTTCTCTGGCAATGTCAGAAATTGTTGACCTGAGTCCCCTACAGCTCAACATAACAGCATGGCTTTACTTCTTATACTTCATTTTTATACTTTTCTGCTGGATGGTTAAGACCAAGGTAAAGCTTCCACTTTCTTAGAACTTTCAATCATGCTTCCACTGTCTACATCTGAATATGCATGGGACCTTCAAGTTCAGCAGATCCCACCTAGACTCATTTTATTTTTCAAATGTTTTGCATCTATTTTATTTCTTGGTAAGTCACATGAAAGTTACATGGTAGTCTAAGCCAGTAATACTGTCATTCCTCTTCACTCTCAACCCATCACAGCTAACTAATCATTAAGTTATGTAATTTCTGCCTTCTTATGGCATTTCAAATTACTTCCCTCCTCTCCATTTCCACTGTCATCACCTCATTTCACATTTTCAAAATTTATAAGAGCCAGAGAAGTCCTTTATAAATGCCTGATTGTGACACTGTCCTACTTAAAACCTTCAGTGTGTGCCCTTGCTACTTGGATATCTGCAGAGATTAGGAAAATAATGTATATTAGTGAAATGGACCGTATATGACACAAGAGAAAAAAATAATGAAATGCACTCCTGACTAAAGAGATTCATATTCAGAATTTTGAAAGATAAATAACAAACCTCTCATAGACTAATTTGCGTATGACTCTGCAGTTAATACAGCCAGGTCTAACCTACTGAGCATAATATGCATATCTTCTTTGCTATCAAGTATCTCCTTGAGATAGCAATTTGGAACTCTCAGCTTTTGCAGAGACTGATACAACCAGTAAATCATGTTTTGTTTCTAGATCAAAATACATAAGCATAAAGAGTTGTTTATCATGGTAAGTTCCTCTGTATTCATGGTAGAGGCTGTGAAGCCAAAAGAAACTTTATAGGTTTCAGATCTTCCATGTATTAGCTGTGTGGTTTTGAGCTATTTACATAACTGCTTTGACCCTCAGTTTCCCCCTGCATAAAAAATAATGGAATCAAAACTGTATGATTGGGCTGGAGAGATGGCTCAGTGGTCTAAAGCACCTACTTGGAACAAGCTTGGCAAAGCACAGGGACCGCGGTTCGATCCTCCAGCACCACATGCCAGCCAGCCGCGCCCCCTGGTGGGCTGAGCTGGCCACACACACACACACACAATAAATAAATAAATGTTAAAAAAATTAAAAAAAATTAAAAAAAAAACTGTATGATTGAGAGTACAAAATCAAACAATAAATTGCCTAAAATGATCTATCTCAATACTTGGCACAGAGTAACTTCTCAATAAAAGATTATACTAAGACAGGAAAAAATTAAGAAGTAGCAATAAGTATCCAAAAGTCTAATTCTCCCAGCTTTGACCTTCCCTGTAATTGTAGTTCTGACCTGTAGAAGAGCAGACATTTTAGAAACCAACCTGAAGTGAAGCAGACAGTAGAAGCTGAGAGGCTCATGGTTCATCCAGATAACAGAACCCCAAGGACTTACAGCCTAGCGGGGTAGTTATCTGCAAATGAAATTTAAGCCCAGAAGATGTTGGTGTTGACAAATCATGAGCAGACTGAGTATATGGACACCCTACCATCATCCATAACAGATAAAGCTTGTGCATTTTTTCTCTACATACAGTATTTACTTTTTTTGCTAAATGTGACATTAAGTAAAAATTTAATTCTGTGGGGTTAAGGTATGTAGAATCCTTACTTTGGTTTATTACCTACAGCAGTGTAAATTTGAAGCATCAGAGGAAATTAACAACTTGGTTTTCTTTATCAGAGCATTTATCATGGGAGTTTACTTCATGTTATTCCAATGCACAAAATAAACTAATTATATTTTAGTTAGTCCTAGAACACTACAGAAGCATTGAGGAACTCTAATTATTCACTTAAGGAAGGAAACTATGTACCATCTTGTTAGGTAAAATGTGTTTAACTCTGACTGCAGGAGGAAATAATAATTAGATTTGCTAGGACAGTTCATTTATTTAAATGATCTATGCATGTGCCTTCACTGATCTCACAGGACAATAACAGAAATGAAAAATTAGGATAGGCTGAAAGTTTAAGTACCCTGTATAACCAACTGTCATCAGTGGAGATAAAGAATGGGATTGCTGCTTTAATCTATTTGTAGGAACATACGACTTGGTGTCACTTTGCTACAGGCATCCAATATTTTATGATTTGGTTTTGTGATACTAGAAGATTGAGTCTAGGGTCTCATGCTTTCAAGGCATGCACTCTACTCCTGAACTACATACATAGCCCTATTTTGTTTCTTACACTATAGGTTAATTTTGCCACCTGAGAATACTTTACTCAGTAGTTTGTGTGTGCATCTGACATGATTGAAATAGGAAGCTGAACAGTTTACAGTATGCTTTTCTGCCCTTCCAAAGAGCCATGGTGAGGATGAGTAAACTAATATAAAACAACTGGCAACCCCTGCTGGTGAAACGACATGCTCTGTACTCCTGAGTGTGCTGAGAATGAGGAGACTAGAAAAAAAAGAGTAGTAACCCAGCTTGATTTAAAGGCAAAAAAAGATTTAGATTTTCAACTTCTTGCTTTGCTTCTTGCACTGCAGTGTCTTATCCTAGACAGACTTCCCTGCCCAGATAAATACCATATTTAAGCAACAGTGACAACATTAATATTACACAGCTCTTTAGTGGTTAAGTTTGTGTTTAGCCCTGGGTTTAACCCTCAACATACAAAAAAAAAAAAAAAAGGAAAAAATTAAATATTATAACAAGGAGGGGGCTGACTGTAAAGCAAAGCTGAAGTAATTAAGAAACAGTGTTAAGACACAAGGATAAACAAGTGCTATATTTTACACAGGACAGTAAGATTGTCTGGTTTTTTTAAGGAATATCACTAAAAAGTTGATGTAGGTAAAAACATGTCATTTTCTGACTTGAATGTTATCTTAGTGTTTAACCATTTTATTTTTCTTAAAGACACAGTTTTGCCTAATGACTTCTCCATAATTTTATTTTCTCTCTTGCCCTCCCGCTCTTTTCCTTTTGTACTTGTAGCTCCTCAGAGAAATTTTGAAATTGCCTTTAAGATGTTTGACCTGAATGGAGATGGAGAAGTAGACATGGAGGAGTTTGAACAGGCAAGTTGTGCTAATGAGTTTTGTAAAATACATTAATATTTAAAATATATTTCATATATGTTAGATTTAATGACAGATTTAATAAAGTAATATCTTGTACTCCTTTTGAGTCTAAAATCAGTGATATTTATTTTTAAGTTATATGATATTGTGATTAAGTGTCTAATCAAAGTGGTAAGAACAGCTATCATTTGCTAAATGCTTTCTGTGTAAAATTTTTACTTTAGGAACAGTTGGATGCAGTATATTTTAAAATACTATCCCCATGTCAGCAAGATTGGGCAAGTTGCTCAAGTGAATGTAACTAGAAACTCATGGATTTGAAAAGAACTTCAAATCTTTTGGTTTTTCCTACTTCATCACATTATTATATTGAAAGATTATGCAACAAATTAGGAACATATAAAGACTTGAAATTATTAGTGTGTTACATGAGCTTACCCTCTCCAAATACGTGTTATTTGGTAGTGTATGTTAATACCTTATAATGGATGTACCCTGCCATCTTTCAGTTCTTCTAAAAGCTTACTTTGAGGAAATAAACAACCCAAGAAAATATAAAATGTTCACTGCTGTTTTGTTTATAATACCAAAAAAAGTAGAAACAAGTTAATTGGCCACGAGTAAGGGACTGGTTAAATGCTACATATTAGCATGCTGTGTTAACTCCGAAAGAACAATAATAAAAGTTATTGAAGCCAGGCAGAGTGGCACATGCCTGTGATCCCAGCCCTCAGGAAACTAAGGCAGGAGGTTCACTTTGAATTGTAGACGAGCCTGGGCTGCAAAGTGAGCTCAAGGCCAGCCTGAACTGCATAGTGAGACCCTATCCCAAAGACTGAGAGAGAAAGAGAGAGAGAATGAATCACATTACTAATATGTTAGAGTAAAATTTTATTTATGGAAAATAATGCCTGAAATAATATCTGTGCATGTATTCATACATATGCACATTTTGTAGTATGCATGTATATATGCATATATAAATGAAAGGTATTTCAGCAGTTTTCTTGTGGAAGATTAACATTGCCTATTTTTCTATGTTTTTTGCCTTTATTGTAACAAATTGATTAACTTTTATAAAGAGAAAAACTTTTAAAAATCAAATTCTTTAAATATTCATAAGTAAATCTGTTTCATAGTCAAAGTTAATAAAATTCTAAAAGACATTTCAGGTAAATAACATAGTTACAAATCTTACGGTTTTAAGTATTAGGCTTTTTTTCCTAGGATTTGGGATTGAACACCAGGTGTTTTCTCTGCGCCACACCCTCAACCCTTCCTTATTTTTTAATTTTCTGACAAAGTCTTGCTAAGTCACAGAGTTGTCTGAGCTGGGCTCAAACTTTCGATCCTCCGGCCTCTGCTTCCCAGGGTGCTGGGATCACAGGCATGCACCATTACACCTGGCTACTATTACGTGTTTTTAATTTGGCACTTTAAAAATAATCACCCACAAAGCGCTATGCATTATTTATCTACCATACCTTTATTGTTTATTCTTACCTATCAGTTTTTTCATTATTTTGAATGGCTGATTTTACTTATGTAGCCCCCTTTGCTACTTCCCAAAATTACTCTTTCTCAAAAGATTGAACTGTCATGCTGGCCTCACCCCTGGGGCATGCTGCAATAGCAATTGCGGTTGGGTGTGGCGGTGTGCACCTGTAATCCCAGCTCTTGGGAGGATGAACATAGGTGGATCACTATAAGTCTGATCTACATAGTGAAACTCTATAGACTCTGTAGACCCTGCACTAAATACAAAAAAAAAAAAAAAGATTGAACAAAGTCCCCATGTTTCTTGAAATATTGTTTCATACCAACTTTGCATTTTATGTATCATTCTGGTAAGTCTATTTTCTATTACAAAGATCAGGATTTTGCCTAAAGCTCTGCTGTCTCTCATCCCAGTTGGAGAGAGAGTAGTGACGCATGTGGGATTTTCTTAAACTCTGCCAGAATACAGATGATATCATTGTAAAGTGGTTATTCTAGTTGTATGAGAGACATGTTAAACCACCAGAACAAATGCTTATTCTTTTCTGTAGAGAAATTTCCTAAGTGGATCCCAATCATAAACATGTCAACCTGTCTGTTTTAGAGTCTGAATTCTGCTATTTGTTAGCTGCTTGACCTTGAGCAAGTTATTCAACTGTGTGCTTCAATCTCTTTGTCTCTTTGTCTCAAAATGAGGATAATAACAACCTTGTAAGATTGTTGTTTGTAGTAAAGGAGATCATTGTTGTACAGCATAGGCATGTACTCAATAACAATAATTATTTTTTTCTATGCTTTCTCACTTTTATGATATTTTTCTTTTCTTTTTTTATGGGTTGGTTGGTTTTAGGTTCAGAGCATCATTCGCTCCCAAACCAGCATGGGTATGCGCCATAGAGATCGTCCTACTACCGGTAACACCCTCAAGTCTGGCTTATGTTCAGCCCTTACAACCTACTTTTTTGGAGCTGATCTCAAGGGGAAACTGACGATCAAAAACTTCCTCGAATTTCAGCGTAAACTTCAGCATGATGTTCTAAAGCTGGAGGTATGACTTCAAGAGATCTATCATCTATATGCTAGGAGGGTCAGTAATGCAGGATTCTTTCTGTCTCTCTCCAACTGAGATAACTGATTGGTTTGAACATTATTGGTGATTTATGACCTAACAGTAGATAAGAAATGACAAATTCTGTGACAATGTCATGTAATGATGTAATTCTGGAACTGAAAATCGAAAAAGTCTACCTTGTAAATTTTAGTTGTCATGGGAGACCCTGCTGGAGGAGAATTAAATCCAGTGCTCAGAGCAGTTCCCAACCTGAGTGTGTACCCCAGTTTCATTTTCATTGTATGGAAGGCACTAGAAGGTTGAGATAAGGGGACATATTAAATAGTTTTTCCAGTGAAAGTTTGTAGAGATAATAACAACTGGAAATACCAACTGTTAGAATAAAAACGTGTGCTCCGAGTTGCAAAGTTGTCTTACTGTTTTGGAGGATTTACTTATGTACTGTAAGTTTAAACAGTCAAGCTATTCAGTCCCTGAATACTACTTTCTAAAAGTATCACTGCATACACCACAGGTATACTTATTAAGTGTGCTTTGAGTTTATTAGCAATTGAAATTTAAAACATTCCTTAGATGCCTGTATATATACTTTTATCTGGAGACAAAAAAAATTCTCTAATTTATTGAGATTTTTAAAAATTCCATTATACTGCTTTTTCTTGGTCTTTTTTTTTCCAATACATGCCCTACTTTAATATTACTTAGAATTTCAAAATACTAAATACTGTAACTAAAACACATGAAAATATTGAAAAACATTGCTTTTCCCCAACTATATACATCACTTCTCTGACTTTTCTCCCATTTTCTCCTGATTCTGACACCTTCTTTCTACCTTTTCCACCCATCAGATTCAATTGAGACAGGTTTAAAAATTACAACTGAACTCCTACTATCCATAAGAATGTTGTTTGGTAATCTTCATAATCTTGCTAAAAAAAATAGAAGGATGAATAAAATTTAAAATCCAGTGGGGGGAAAAAAAGACTTGTGGTGATCCTTCTGTTGTCAACCACCCCAGCACTGGGATTACAGGTATGTGCCACTACGCACAGACTAGTCACTGGCTCAGCTCATTCTGGGGCGGGGCCAGTGTGGCATGTGGTATTGGGGATGGAAGAAACTTTGAAACATACATTTTACTTGTTTTTTAATATGACAGGATTAATATTCATAAAATGTACCTATAAAAGATAATGGAAAGCTGGCTAGATAGCTAGCGGACTAAAGTGCCTGCTTAGGCCGAGCCCAGTGACCAGTTCTATCCCCAGCATGCTGTGCCAGCCCCAACCCCAGGGTGCGCTGAGAGAGCATTGAGACTGGGTATGGTGGTGTAACCCCAGTGCTTGGGAAGCAGAAAACAGGAGAATCACTACGAGTCTGATCTAAGTAGTGAGACCCTGTACACCCTGTAGACCCTGTCCTAAATTCATTAAAAAGTAATAATAATGGAGGCCAGGGAGATAGCTCAGCAGTCTAAGCACCTGCCTGGTAAGTGGGAGGACCTGGGTTCGATTCCTGGTACCACATGCTTTTCAACCTCCCCAGAGCAGGGATTACAGGTGTGTGCTACCACATCCAGTTTTGAGGCCACCAAAACTGGATGTGGTAGCACACACCTGTAATCCCTGCTCTGGGGAGGTTGAAACAGGAAGATAACTGAGTCCAAGCTCTAGTAGCAAATGCCAGTACAAAATGCATAAACTAAAAAAAAGTTATGGATTTCTTCAGTAAGTCAAACTGCTTCCGGAGGCTCTTGAAGCCCCTGTAATAAGTAGCAAGAACTACACATATAGTTTAAAGTACATTTTTACTACACGGAAAAATGGTTTAGCTTTCTTATTCTGATTCACTTAGCACTGCTGATTAGATAATAACTTTCTTTGTTTAGCACAAGGCAGAGGCTAAGTAAGCATAGGAAAGGCGACTATGTATCTGGATTTCAAAGGTTGTCCCCACCACATGTACAACACATCAGCCTAGCAAATCACTGAGCAGATCTAAACAATAATTGAAGCAAAACTGATTAGCTAGTCAGCTCTTTTTAACCAGAAATTCAATCACAAATTAATAATACCTCAGTTTCTAAATATATTTGAGGCCAGCCAAATAGATCAGTGGATTAAAGCGTCTGCAAGCAGAACCAGGAGCCTGGGTTTCGATCCCCAGACCTACCTTGCCGTCCTAACCCCCAGGGCACACTGAAATGGCAGTTGAGACTGGCCGTGGTGCATGCCTGTAATCCCAGCTCTTGGGAGGCTGTAAGCAGGCAAATCACTACAAGTCTGATCTAGTAGTGAGACCCTGAACACCCTAAAGACCCTTCCCTAAAATACAAAAAAAAAAAAAAGAAAAGAAAAAAATATGTGTTGGCATAGGTTGAGTATCCCTTATCCAAAATGTTTGGAACCAAGTGTTTTGGACTTTGGAAATTTTTGAATTTTGGAATATTTGTATATATGTGGGAAGGTACCTTAAGGATGAGATTCAGTCTTTTTTCAGGGGAGGGTGTTGACACAAGGTCTAATAACTATGTAGTCTATGTTGACCTTGACCTTGCTTTGTAACCCAGGCTGGCTTCAAACTCCTGGCAATCCTGCCTCAGCTTCCAACCCATGTGCTGGGATTACAGGCATGTGCCACCATGCCCAGCTGAAATTCAGTCTTAACATGACATTCATTTATGTCACCCTATATTCATAACCTAAAGATAATTTTATAAATAGTGTACCTGTTTCTTGACTGTGATCCACCAAATGAAGTCAAGTGTGGAATCTTCCACTTGTGGTATCATGCTGAGATTTATAAAAGCTTCAGATTCTGGTGGCCGGGGAGATGGCTCAGTGGAATAAGCGCTTCCCTGGCAAGCTCAAGGACCTGAGTTCAATCCCCGGTTCCCCCCCCAAAAAAAAAAAAAAAAAAAAGCTTCAAATTCTGGAACACTTCAGATTTTGGATTTTTGGGACTAGAGATGATTGATCAGTATATTTTCACTTGATGAAAAACAGATACTTCTCAGATGGTAAATTTTACTTTGTTCACTGATTTATATTTTTATTTTTATATTATATAGTTATATTTTTACTATATATTTTATATATAAATACACTAGAGACACAACAGAGCTAATATATATTATTATATATTATATATAAGATATTATATATATATATATATATATCTTACATACACACACATACCTCAGTGTACAATAGAAAGAAATAGACCTTATTCAACAATCTTTGTGTAAGAGCATATACTAGGCTTCAAGTCATATGTTCTAATGCGCATACCCAGACTGACCTTCTTCAGAAATATTTTAATATAATGTGGGAATATAAATGATTTAACTTGTTATACAACTGTAATTTAACATAGAATATAGATCCATAAAATTTAGTTAGAGTAAAGCACAAAGTATCATGATACTTTCAGTAAACTTTGATGAATAGTAGAGGATCAGCCCAGAGGGCTGAGCAAGAGCCAATCTGACCACATTCTTGCCTAACACTAATTGCTGGAAACACAAATGGGAGTCTAGAAAGAGAGAGCACAGGCTGTTGGGCTTTCATCCTGAGGTGCCATAGAGCTAAAAGCCCACAAATGTGTTGTGTGGATTACCTGAGGGGTAAAAACTTGTGAAGCAGATTAAGGATTTCATAAACATGCCCCTGTACATAGCATACAGCCAAATACAGAAGAAAAGAAATTTATAGGCAGTCCTATCTAAAGTACTTGTTCTATAAAGTTATATTGTATTTGAATTAGGATTACTTGTAGGCCATTGGATTTAGTAGTATTTGTAAGCTTCGGGCCAGCAGTTCCTCAGGTGAGGGGATCAGAGGACATTTTTGTGAAGAAGCCTAGCCTATCATTTAGCAGTCCTGAATCTGTTCTTTCAATATGATGATGCAGGGCCAGGGAGATGGCTCAGTAGAATAAGCACTTGCCTGGCAAGTTCAAGGGCCTGAGTTCAACCCCCAATTCTGCAAAAACAAAAACAAAAACAAAAACCCACAAAATATGATGCAGGTGAAGTGAATAAATGCCTCTGTGTGCCAAGCCCCCATTTTAAAGTTTCATCAGTCAATAATGTATCTTTCCAACTAATTTGGTAGACCTTTAATGACATGTGAATAGTAGAAAGAACATTGGCTTTGGTGCCATTTAGGCCTTGATTAAAATTGTGTTTTCACCATTTAACTGATTGTGTGATAGTTCATGTATTATCTGTTCTCTCAGAGCCTGACTACTCACTTGTTTGTAAACCAAACAGTGGTTAAAATGAGATGATTTTTTTAAAAGAGAAAAAAGTAAAAATAATAAAAGAGTTTCAGGGCTGGAGGTATAGTTCAGCAGCACAGTACCTGCCTGACAAGTGCAAGGTTCTGAGTTTGATTTCTGGTAGGAAAAAATAAAACTGAGTTTCAAAATAGGCTAACAGGAGAATAACAATAATTAATACATTGAGTATTGTTATCTTCATAGTAGTTACTCAGAGTACAAGATACAGGGATGAGATACCCAAACAATATTAGCACAAATTTTTCTTTTCAATGAACTTAGAGAAACTAGCTGTATAGCCATTTTAACTAAGATATTTATACAGAGATGATGTTTTGTTACAGGCTAAAATGTGTTCCTCTAAAATGTGTACCGCATGATTTTATTTTATTTTATTTTTTAATTTATTTTATTTTTATATTTATTTATTTATTTTTGCAGTACTGGGGATTGAACTCAGGACCTTGTGCTTGCCAGGCAAGTGTTTATTCTACTGAACTATCTCCCTACCCCACACCATGATTTTATGATGTGGTTACATTTAGAAATAAGGCCCTGAAAGGCTTGGTTAAGTTAAAAAGAGGCTGTTACAGTGGCCCTGATATAATTTGGCTGGTTATTTATAAGAAGAGAAGATCTGGATGCAGTAGGGTGCATGTGTACAGCAGGCAGTCCTGGAAAGAGGCAGCTTG